CTTCGCTGCCGCGGCTTTTCATCCTCGTGTACGTCGACGACATGATTTTTGCCACTGCTGACACTGAGGCACTGGCCCTAATGAAGTCGGAGCTACACAAGAGACACCCGTGCACAGACCTTGGTGAGCTGCGCAGCTATCTTGGCTTGCAGATCATCCTGGCCAAAGCACGGCGCACCATCACCTTGACTCAGTCACAGATGGTGCACCAAGTCCTTTAGCGCTTCCGCTTCGAGTTCTCCTGGCCACAGTCCACTCCTCTGCCTACCGATCACTCGCTCTCAGCACCAAAGTCGGACGAGTCCGTAGAGCCGAGTGGCCCGTATCCAGAGCTTGTGGGCTGCCTTATGTACGTGATGACATGCACGCGACCTGACCTTGCCTACCCTCTTAGCATCCCGGCACGCTACGTTGCTCCCGGGAGACACCGACCAGAGCACTGGAAGGCCGCTAAGAGGGTGTTGCGCTACTTGTGCAGTATGTCGGGCATTGGGCTCGTGCCTGGAGGACGCGGTCGGGTTGTTCTCACTGACCACGCAGACGCATCTTGGGTTGACGACTTGGCTACGCAGCGGTTACACCTTCAGCCTTGGCTCCGGTTCTGTTTCTTGGCGGTATGCCTGCTCGTATTCTTTTCTCAGTTCTAGTTGTGAGGCTGAGATCTACGCCGGGGCCATGGCTGCACAGGAGTTACGCTGGCTCACCTACCTGCTGGCCGACTTGGGAGAGCGGCCTAGTTCTCCTCTAGTTCTGTACGTAGACAACAAGGCCGTGATTGCCTTGTGTTAGGAGCACATATTAGGGCACAGGACGAAGCACATTGCTCTGCGTTACCGTACTTCCTTGCTCGAGAGTTGCAGCAGCGTGGTCATCTTCGTCTTGCTTACATGGCCACTCGGGCCAACACTGCTGATATATTCACCAAGGCTCTTCAGTCTGGTGATCATCAGCGATTCTGTACTGTTTTAGGCATTGTGCCTACTTTGCCTCACTTGCTCACTTCGTGACTTTGCTTGTACTATGATCTATATACTTATACCTGCATGCTTATACTTGCTAGGTTGTGATCACTGTACTGCTTGTCCTCTCTTATATAACTCTGCATGTGGACAGGCGTTGTGGCCATTTGCTTGTGCTCAGAGTGTGTGGTGACTTCATAGTCCACGTTGAGCTTGCTTTGCTTTTCTTGACTGGTCTTGTGACCCCTTGTTCTCCCCCACTTTTTCTATGGGGGTGTGTCAAACTATTATATTGTTTATGTTGTGTATGCTATAGTGGGGTAACATATAAGGGGTACAACCCAATTAAGGTTAGTACTTGTACCAACTTCCTACTCAATGCATTCATTCTTGCTTAGTCTTCTGACAGTTGGGAAGTAGAGGAATAAATTTCTTACTTCAGAATCGAATGGTTTTGGTAAAAACTGGCAAGCATTACATACGGTACCGTCATACCCCGGATATAAGCGCCACCCTCGGATAAGCGTGTGGCGCTTTTAATTGGCGCATGGCGCTTATATCCGCTGCTCGATTAGAAGCGCACCCCCTGAAAAAACTTGTTTTATTATAAGCGCACGTAAAACCTTAAATTTTGAAATGTGTTCAAAACGCTGTAACGATTTTTACTTTAGCAGGCGGATGTGTTGCAGATTCGGTTCCCTTCACATTCGGACCCTGCACTCGATGCGGGTCTAGTCAGCAGGAGCTGTCAGGAGCTGTCAGTAGCTGTCAGGAGCTGGATGTGAGGCAGATTGGGTGTATTTCCCAGCGCGCGCGAGAATTTCACAGACGACCCCGTGTAACTTCGACTCGATTGAAAAGTCAAGCACGAGATCTACAGTTTGGTGCTAAAAATATATACCTATATATATATGTCATTTTATAAACGCCGGCGCTTATAAATTTATTCGATTATAAGCCCACCCCCTAAAAAACCTGTTTTATTATTGTCCCCTATGGGGGTATATCCGGGGTATGACGGTAACATTCAAGATCGATTGTCGTGGGACTATGATTTGGAACGCAAAAAAAAAAAAAAAAAAATTGAGTGTCACGTGGTATGCAAGAAATCATAGAAATATGAGGTAAAATTTGACTTAAACCCGCCAAAGCTTTGTCCTCGCTGAAGCTCTCTTGAACCCCCCCCCCCAAACATTTTGACCGCCTAATTGGTAGTGATCCAGCGATATAAGATACTAATAACGGCGGAACTATTAACGAGGCGGCTATTAGGCACTCCGCTGCTGTGTTCCTTTTCTCCACTCTAGGCAGCCAAACTGGCTGGCAGGAGGTCATTTGAGGAGTTGAGGGGCGCAAAGGGATCGGATTTGGTTTGACCCGATCGACGAATAGCAGCCAGGCGAGTCATTCGCAAAACTGTAGGAGCGAAATCCTGCCCTACTGATCTCCAACTGTTTCGCCTGTGTGGGCTTGCGGCTGCCATTGAGGCTCCAGCTTGCTCCTACAGTTTGGTGGCTTTGCAGGGGAAATGCGTGGTGGGAATCAAATCGACGTAGTGGTTGTGAATGGAAGCAATGGCCGACGCAATGGGATGCGGTTCGGAGTCTGTACTCTGTGCAAACGCATTCTACAGAAAGCTTGAGCACGTTATTGGCTTGCCTTTCTGTAGAGAACAGATATCGTGTGGTCACTGACTTACACAGGGACGCCCAGATCCATTAGTTTAGGAAAATTCGCGGAGCCTAAGGGACTGTCTCCCTCCGTTTCAGTACCTTTCTAGAAAGGCAAGGCCGTCTCCTTTCACCACGTTACTGAAAGCCGAGTCACGGCGATGACCACAAAAGTAGTAACGACGTTACAGTATCGAGGGAGGTCGGATGATGTAATCTGCTCACTAGCTCTATCGACCACAAGTTGTCCATCCTACGGCGAGAATTCAATCCGAGCCACGTAACTTCCGCGCTCATCCAAACCCATGGCGAGCCAATCGCGTTCACCAGTGCTAGGCGAGGGGGCGAATGTGCTCATGAAAGGGCTGTGGTAGCGCAGAATGCGGTGCAGTACAGTACTCCCACAGAACAGCATGACCTTGCGCAAATTACAGAGCAGGTGCGAGCAGTGCATGGGGACGCCCTACCCGACCGAGGCCGGTACATTGCTCTTGCGCTTATTCAGTGAGCTCGCTCATAATTAAAAACGGAATGGTGTACAGAGGAAAAATGACGTCAGAGATGACGTTCACACGGAAAATTTAGCGCCTGCGAAATCGTTCATTGGCCAATCTTCGCATCCCCGCATTGGCGGGTGCGTCCTTGAGCTTGGCTAGGAAGGCTGGCCGACTGGCTCGTTGTGAGATAAGATCCTCTATTCGGGTCCATGGCGAGGTTAAGTGAGGCGCTACAGTGCGCCAGGCCGTGCCATGCCAGGGTGCCTTTATTGCTAATCACTGGCGCTTGACTTCCGCTTATTCCAAACCCATCGCGCCGAGAGCGAGTGAGACTAAAACGCCGGGTGTCACGGGGGTGCCGATGGCCATAAAGCTGCGGTTCTCAACCCAACCGTCAGTTTGCATCCGTTCTACCCTCTTTTATGCGTTCAAGTGTCACTTGAGTTCCTTCCCACCCTACGTTACCACCTCCCTCCGAGCTCGGTGCTTACAGCTGCTTGAAGCGGACATCTAAAAAATGGCGACAAGCAAGCTCATCCTACCAAACCTCGACGTACCCTCCCGGCTATCGCGGGCTGTGCTCGCCACGTGTCACACGGACCAGGTCCCGTGCTCGCGCCGCGTACGCGACAGCGGCGCGGATCTCGATCTGCTCGCGCTGGAAGGCCGGCTCTCGCTGCTCGACGCGCAGCGCGAACTCAATGCAATCCGCTGCCAACAGTTTGTTACCATGTTACAGTCGTTTGTGAGCGAGGGGGAGAGCCGCGGCGATGAGTTGGGAGATGACTGGGAATCGGGGAGAGGAAGGAGAATGTCGTCTCGTTACAATCACAGCAACGCAGCGGGAGTTGGGCGGGGCGAGATCCCTCGCGCGCATTCAGCGCCGGCGGAGATCGACGGCCAGAGAGTGCCGCGCAGCCACCGCCGCAGCAGCAGCCACAGCGGTCGCAGCGCCAGGAGGCAAGCGATGGCCGCGAACCGCCTGACGCGGTGGGCCTCATGCGAGCAGCGCTTGAATGGTGGCGACGACGAGTGGTGAAGCCGCCTGCGCTGCCCGTGCCTTCCGATCGTGATCCCCCCCGCGCGACGCCGCAGCGCGCGCATCTGTACATACTCCCTCCGTCCGCCGACACCATGGAGGCGCACAGCCGATGCGTGTGCTGTGCTCCATTCATTCCGTCTCCCCACACTCGATCATGAATGTACTCGGGAAGAGCCTTTTCTAAAAACGGGTCATCCAACCCGATACCGTATTATCTCTGGGTACGCAACTTAGAGCATGGCCACGGCGGATTCTGTACATCCTTGTAGAATGATTCAATTTATTGAGACATCTCACATTCATTTTGGGGGCCACCTCAGCTTTTAGGTACGGTAGTCAAGTATCCAAAGATGCTGGGTTGAAGCCATGGCTGAATTTCTTTTGTGCTTTCATGGCCTGAACCATGACATGATGCCACTTTGATGCAGCCTTCTGTTAAAAAACCGCTTACGTTCTCCATGCATGTTGCAACTGCACATTCATAACGCTCTAATCAAGTGTCCCAGTAGGTCATCTGCTGTAAAACAATGAACATGCCGTGCACTCATGGAACTGAGGCGGTGATGCAGGTGAACATATGATAAACCGTATATGCTATCTTCCTCCTTCGTTGATCTCCCCACTCAATAAGCTTGTCGCATTGAGGTTCATCCTACAGCCACCCACACAGCCTTTCCTCCACCACCCTGCCGTGGCTCAGCAGCGCCGCCCCGCCCACCAAAATCCCCCCGCTCGTTTGAACGAGGTGCATAGGAGGCAGCTTAAAAGGGCACAAGCCAGCAAGTTGCTTGGAAGGCAGGCAGCGTCAGGGGGGAGCAGTGAGCAGGCACCATCAGTGGTGTGCAGTGAGCAAGCGCACGTGCGCCTCCCTCACAGCGCTCTGCACCTGCGCTGGCAGGCGGTGCAGGCAGGCAGTGCGGCGCATGGCGGGATACCACGGCGCCAGGCTGCTCACCGCCTCTCCCACCATCTCCCACTGCCCCGCCGCCCATGCCGCCCGCACCACCACCTCCCCTGCCGCCCACGGCGCCACTGGGCTCTCAGTGGTCCAATCCGGGGTGGCAGCAGCCGTGCCAGTGGTGGCGGTGCTGCTGCTGCCTCTGCTACTGCTGCCATCACTGCAGTCAACCGCACAGTAACCGGGGTCCCTGCTGACTGGGTCATGCCAGGTGGCGCGCAGGCGTGCTGCCACGTAGCAGAGGGCGCTGTGGTGCAGGGCGGGCAGCATCCACTGGTGAGCGAGCGATGCGAGGTGCACTGCGGAGAGCAGACGAGTGGAGAGCGAGAGTGGGGGCAGGCGCACAGAGGAGAGTGGCACAGGAGCGCTGTGATGCCGGCTGGGGCTCGCAGCAGCAGTGGTGGGGGTTAGGTGGCTGATGTTGGTGGGCGTGCGGGTGGCATGGGGAGGGAGGGGGAGGGGGAGGAAGGAGACGCGGGCGGAGTAGAGGAAGCGCAGGAGAGCGATGAGCGCTGGTAGGGGCAGTGGTGGCAGCTGCACGTCGTGCTGCGAGCTGCACAGTAGGCACATCGCACGCAGAAAGAAGGGGAAGGGGAGATCAAGCAACTAAAATCAAATGAGTAACAGCAAATTGATAAATGACGCTCTAAGAGGGCAGACGGACTCGTGCACAGAGAGCACCATTCCAACCTGCTCAGCCTCCCCTTATACCCCCCCTCTCCCCCCTTTCATATACCCCAATCTCCCTTCCCCCAGTCCTCCCACTTCCCAACCCCCCCCTCGCACAACCCCCCCCCCACCTCTCGTGCATGCCGCAGTGCAGCAGGGCGTGCAGGTACTGGCTGCGCGCCCCCAGCACACAGCGGTGCGCCGCCACCCGCACACACCGCCACACGCCCCCCTGCCCGCCACCCCCCTCGCCGCTGCCCTCCCCATCTGGCCCTCCGCACGCCTCATGGTGCGCCTCTTCCCCACGGCTGCTGGTGCTTGCAGGTGGTTGGTGCGTGGGGGAGGGGGGAGCGTGGCGCGCGCACGGCACACACAGCACAATGTCGCTGTGGGGATAGGGGCATGCGTGGGGGGGGGGCACATAGGGAGGCAGGGGAGAGACGAGGTGGTGAGATGGGATGGTGAGGCACGGTGGTGGGGACTCTTGAAGTGATGACGAATGATTAGGTTGGGAGGGTTGATGGACAGACAAAAGGGACAATGACTAACAGTACGAACTGCCATGTCCCACGGTGCCATGCCCCATGCTGCCATGCCCCATGCTGCCATGTCCCACGGTGCCATGCCCCATGCTGCCATGCCTCACCTCCAAGGCAGCCCAGCTGGACCAAGTGCTGACGTCAGATCACACCCCATCGCATCATCCCTGCCCCAGATCGGCCAATCACAGCGAAGGAGTGCAACGAGCCCATCCAATCGGCACTTCTTAGCCAGCTGCAGCAGATCCTTTGACAGCCAATGAGAGAGCGACACCTGTCCCGTGTAAATATACTCCAAGAGCTGACTGAACGTCTCGCCACTCACACCCTTCCCCAGGCGCACCTCTCTCACCACCCCCTCCTCTCCCTCTGCCCGAACTCCTCCCCTCGCTGCCAGCGCTTGCCCACTCGCCCCCCCATCCTTTTCCTGAACGGGAAGAAAGCGGGTGCTATGGGGGGAGGCAGATGGGGAGGGGCAAGCCGGTGCAGAGGGGGCTTTGAGGGGCGAGAGGAGGGTGGGGCAGCGGGCAGCAATGATTGCCGCATGCGCCACCACTCGCAGTGGGGAGGCGACAGCAGTAGAAGTGGGTGCAGAGGGGTGCGTGACGACGAACGCCACGTGCGCCGTGGGGCTTGCAGGGGAGGGCGTGAGCGGGGTGAAGTGAGTGTGTGAAGCGGCGTGGGGGGAAGAGGCCGGGGAGGAGGAAGGGGGGAGGCACGTGAGGGCAGAGCGGATGTCACGGGCCACAGCAGTTGGCACTCCCAGGGGGGGTGGCTCACTGTGTGTGGCAGGCGGCTGGAGAAATGGAGGATGATGAGAGGGCTGCTGCTGAGAGGGCTGTTTGGCAGCAGCAGGCAGTGCAGCGGAGGGTGGGGGAGGGCGGGGCAGCGATCGGCAGAGCGAGAGGCATCGGGCAGCGAGGCAGCGCAGACCGGCAGGCGATGCGGGATGGAGGAGACGAGTGAGGGCGGGGATGAGGTTGTCAGGGAGGAGTGTGCCGGGGGGAGTGAGTGCCAGTGGCTCTAATGCCACTGCCATGGGGTGCGATGGTAACGGCTGTGCGCGGTGCAGGAGGGCGACAAGGGCTGTGAGGCCAGAGAACAGGATGATGTCAGCACCTTGCCATGCTGTGACGTCAGCACTGTATGGCGCATGTGGTATGTCCGGCCTCTCATGAGCCAGCAGCATGGTGTCAGCACCCATCTCCCCATTGGCGTCGCTGCCTCCCCCGCCCCCCATCACTCCCACCACCACCTCGTCCTCCCCTCCCTCCAGCTCCCCCTCCCCCCACCACGCCTCATTCCCCTCATCCCATCCCCAATCATCCTCCCCATAACCTTCCTCTCGCGCTCTGCCTGCCCACCCCTCAACTTCCCCCGACCTTCCTCCGGCCTCGCCCTTCCTCCCATCATCAACAAAACCCCCCACCTCCCCTCTGTCCCCCTCCCGCTGCCCCTCACCCTCCCCTTCGCCCCCCTTGGTCCACAGGGCCACGCGTGCAACCACCACGAGTCCCACCGCCTGCAAGCCCCCCTCCGCCCTCACTGCCTCGCCACCCCGCCCGTCACACGCCAGCGCTGCCACCACCAGCAGCTTCGTCGCAGCTTCCACTTCCTGTACTGGCATGTCAGCGGTGAGAAACGGTGCAGAGGAGTGACGAGGGGCGGAGCGCGAGCACAGGCGGCACGCCAGGGCGGCCTGGCGCACAGAAGCTGCTGCCAGGCCGCTCAGACTAGGCTCGTGGCCGCCCTCCCATGCCCTGCCCTCTGCCCTGCACCCCGCACTTCTGCTACTGCTGCTGCCTTCACCACGTGCCTCCCCTGCAGCGCTGCTGTGGTCATGGGGGACACTGGGTGCTGCCCTGCTTGCTGCCCGCACACCACCCTCTCTCCCGCCCCCCCCTGTGCCCTGCGCCTCACACGAGGTGGCAGGGCGGGTGGTGGCTGCTGTGAGTACTTGAGAGAGGGCGGTGTGGGAGAGAGAGGTGAGAGAAGGGCAGGGAGAGGAGAGCAGCGCGAGCAGGGCGGTGAGAAGGGCGTGGGCCGTGGAGGGGTGGAGGGGCGTGATGGGTGGGGGCGATGGTGCAGTGCAGACAACAGCGCAGAGAGGCGTGGCGTGGGAGGAGGGGGTGAGCAGTGCGACGAGGTGAGCGCTGCATGTGGACAGAACGGGGGGGGTGCGGGTGGGTGGGGAGAGAGGGACAGTGGACAGTGAATGGTGGGTGCAGGGTGTCACAGAGAAGGGTGAACAAGATGGCCAAGAGGGAGGTGCACATGAAACACGCAGTGTGATGGGCAGCGCAAAAGAGGCGAATGATGAGAATGAGGCAAACGAGGAGAATGAGGCAAACGAGGAGAATGAGGCAAATGAGGAGAATGAGGCAAACGAGGAAAATGAGGCAAACGAGGAGAATGAGGCAAACGAGGAGAATGAGGAGAATGAGGCAAACGAGGAGAATGAGGCAAACGAGGAGAATGAGGCAAACGAGGAGAATGAGGCAAATGAGGAGAATGAGGCAAATGAGGAGAATGAGGAGAATGAGGCAAACGAGGAGAACGAGGCAAACGAGGAGAACGAAGCAAACGAGGAGAATGAGGCAAATGAGGAGAATGAGGCAAACGAGGAGAATGAGGCAAACGAGGAGAATGAGGCAAACGAGGAGAATGAGGAGAATGAGGCAAACGAGGAGAATGAGGCAAACGAGGAGAATGAGGCAAACGAGGAGAATGAGGCAAACGAGGAGAATGAGGCAAACGAGGAGAATGAGGAGAACGAGGAGAATGAGGAGAATGAGGCAAACGAGGAGAATGAGGCAAACGAGGAGAATGAGGCAAACGAGGAGAATGAGGCAAACGAGGAGAATGAGGCAAATGAGGAGAATGAGGCGAACGAGAAGAATAAGGAGAATAAGGCAAACGAGGAGAATGAGGCAAACGAGGAGAATGAGGCAAACGAGGAGAATGAGGCAAACGAGGAGAATGAGGCAAACGAGGAGAATGAGGCAAACGAGGAGAATGAGGCAAACGAGGAGAATGAGGCAAACGAGGAGAATGAGGCAAACGAGGAGAATGAGGCAAACGAGGAGAATGAGGCAAACGAGGAGAATGAGGCAAACAAGGAGAATGAGGCAAACGAGGAGAATGAGGCAAACGAGGAGAATGAGGCAAACGAGGAGAATGAGGCAAACGAGGAGAATGAGGCGAACGAGGAGAATGAGGCAAACGAGGAGAATGAGGCAAACGAGGAGAATGAGGCAAACGAGGAGAATGAGGCAATCGAGGAGAATGAGGCAAATGAGGAGAATGAGGCGAACGAGAAGAATAAGGAGAATAAGGCAAACGAGGAGAATGAGGCAAACGAGGAGAATGAGGCAAACGAGGAGAATGAGGCAAACGAGGAGAATGAGGCAAACGAGGAGAATGAGGCAAACGAGGAGAATGAGGCAAACGAGGAGAATGAGGCAAACGAGGAGAATGAGGCAAACGAGGAGAATGAGGCAAACGAGGAGAATGAGGCAAACGAGGAGAATGAGGCAAACAAGGAGAATGAGGCAAACGAGGAGAATGAGGCAAACGAGGAGAATGAGGCAAACGAGGAGAATGAGGCAAACGAGGAGAATGAGGCAAACGAGGAGAATGAGGCGAATGAGGAGAATGAGGCGAACGAGGAGAATGAGGCGGACGAGGAGAATGAGGCGGACGAGGAGAATGAGGCAAATGAGGAGAATGAGGAGAATGAGGAGAACGAGGAGAATGAGGAGAATGAGGCAAACGAGGAGAATGAGGCAAACGAGGAGAATGAGGCAAACGAGGAGAATGAGGCAAACGAGGAGAATGAGACGAATGAGGAGAATGAGGAGAATGAGGCAAACGAGGAGAATGAGGCAAACGAGGAGAATGAGGCAAACGAGGAGAATGAGGCAAACGAAGAGAATGAGGCAAACGAGGAGAATGAGGCAAACGAGGAGAATGAGGCAAACAAGGAGAATGAGGCAAACGAGGAGAATGAGGCAAACGAGGAGAATGAGGCAAACGAGGAGAATGAGGCAAACGAGGAGAATGAGGCAAACGAGGAGAATGAGGCAAACGAGGAGAATGAGGCGAACGAGGAGAATGAGGCGAACGAGGAGAATGAGGCAGACGAGGAAAATGAGGCAGACGAGGAAAATGAGGCAAACGAGGAGAATGAGGCAAACGAGGAGAATGAGGCAAACGAGGAGAATGAGGCAAACGAGGAGAATGAGGCAAATGAGGAGAATGAGGCAAACGAGGAGAATGAGGAGAATGAGGAAAATGAGGCAAACGAGGAGAATGAGGAGAATGAGGCAAACGAGGAGAATGAGGCAAACGAGGAGAATGAGGCAAACGAGGAAAATGAGGCAAACGAGGAGAATGAGGCAAACGAGGAGAATGAGGCAAACGAGGAGAATGAGGCAAAGGAGGAGAATGAGGCAAAGGAGGAGAATGAGGCAAACGAGGAGAATGAGGCAAACGAGGAGAATGAGGCAAACGAGGAAAATGAGGCAAACGAGGAGAATGAGGCAAACGAGGAGAATGAGGAGAATGAGGCAAACGAGGAGAATGAAGAGAATGAGGCAAACGAGGAGAATGAGGCAAACGAGGAGAATGAGGCAAACGAGGAGAATGAGGCAAATGAGGAGAATGAGGCAAATGAGGAGAATGAGGAGAATGAGGCAAACGAGGAGAACGAGGCAAACGAGGGGAACGAGGCAAACGAGGAGAATGAGGCAAATGAGGAGAATGAGGCAAACGAGGAGAATGAGGCAAACGAGGAGAATGAGGCAAACGAGGAGAATGAGGCAAACGAGGAGAATGAGGCAAACGAGGAGAATGAGGAGAACGAGGAGAATGAGGAGAATGAGGCAAACGAGGAGAATGAGGCAAACGAGGAGAATGAGGCAAACGAGGAGAATGAGGCAAACGAGGAGAATGAGGCAAATGAGGAGAATGAGGCGAACGAGAAGAATAAGGAGAATGAGGCAAACGAGGAGAATGAGGCAAACGAGGAGAATGAGGCAAACGAGGAGAATGAGGCAAACGAGGAGAATGAGGCAAACGAGGAGAATGAGGCAAATGAGGCAAATGAGGAGAATGAGGCAAATGAGGAGAATGAGGCAAATGAGGAGAATGAGGCAAACGAGGAGAATGAGGCAAACGAGGAGAACGAGGCAAACGAGGAGAATGAGGCAAATGAGGAGAATGAGGCAAACGAGGAGAATGAGGCAAACGAGGAGAATGAGGCAAACGAGGAGAATGAGGCAAACGAGGAGAATGAGGCAAACGAGGAGAATGAGGAGAACGAGGAGAATGAGGAGAATGAGGCAAACGAGGAGAATGAGGCAAACGAGGAGAATGAGGCAAACGAGGAGAATGAGGCAAACGAGGAGAATGAGGCAAACGAGGAGAATGAGACGAATGAGGAGAATGAGGAGAATGAGGCAAACGAGGAGAATGAGGCAAACGAGGAGAATGAGGCAAACGAGGAGAATGAGGCAAATGAGGCAAATGAGGAGAATGAGGCACATGAGGAGAATGAGGCAAATGAGGAGAATGAGGCAAACGAGGAGAATGAGGCAAACAAGGAGAATGAGGCAAACGAGGAGAATGAGGCAAACGAGGAGAATGAGGCAAACGAGGAGAATGAGGCAAACGAGGAGAATGAGGCAAACGATGAGAATGAGGAGAATGAGGAGAATGAGGCAAACGAGGAGAATGAGGCAAACGAGGAGAATGAGGCAAACGAGGAAAATGAGGCAAACGAGGAAAATGAGGCAAACGAGGAGAATGAGGCAAACGAGGAGAATGAGGCAAACGAGGAGAATGAGGCAAAGGAGGAGAATGAGGCAAAGGAGGAGAATGAGGCAAACGAGGAGAATGAGGCAAACGAGGAGAATGAGGCAAACGAGGAGAATGAGGCAAAGGAGGAGAATGAGGCAAACGAGGAGAATGAGGCAAACGAGGAGAATGAGGCAAACGAGGAGAATGAGGCAAACGAGGAGAATGAGGCAAACGAGGAGAATGAGGCAAACGAGGAGAATGAGGCGAACGAGGAGAATGAGGCGAACGAGGAGAATGAGGCGGACGAGGAGAATGAGGCGGACGAGGAGAATGAGGCAAACGAGGAGAATGGGGAGAACGAGGAGAATGAGGAGAACGAGGAGAACGAGGAGAATGAGGCAAACGAGGAGAATGAGGCAAACGAGGAGAATGAGGCAAACGAGGAGAATGAGGAGAACGAGGAGAATGAGGAGAATGAGGCAAACGAGGAGAATGAGGCAAACGAGGAGAATGAGGCAAACGAGGAGAATGAGGTGAACTAGGAGAATGAGGCAAATGAGGAGAATGAGGCGAACGAGAAGAATAAGGAGAATGAGGCAAACGAGGAGAATGAGGCAAACGAGGAGAATGAGGCAAACGAGGAGAATGAGGCAAACGAGGAGAATGAGGCAAACGAGGAGAATGAGGCAAACGAGGAGAATGAGGCAAACGAGGAGAATGAGACGAATGAGGAGAATGAGGAGAATGAGGCAAACGAGGAGAATGAGGCAAACGAGGAGAATGAGGCAAACGAGGAGAATGAGGCAAATGAGGCAAATGAGGAGAATGAGGCAAATGAGGAGAATGAGGCAAATGAGGAGAATGAGGCAAACGAGGAGAATGAGGCAAACGAGGAGAACGAGGCAAACGAGGAGAACGAGGCAAACGAGGAGAATGAGGCAAATGAGGAGAATGAGGCAAACGAGGAGAATGAGGCAAACGAGGAGAATGAGGCAAACGAGGAGAATGAGGCAAACGAGGAGAATGAGGCAAACGAGGAGAATGAGGAGAACGAGGAGAATGAGGAGAATGAGGCAAACGAGGAGAATGAGGCAAACGAGGAGAATGAGGCAAACGAGGAGAATGAGGCAAACGAGGAGAATGAGGCAAATGAGGAGAATGAGGCGAACGAGAAGAATAAGGAGAATGAGGCAAACGAGGAGAATGAGGCAAACGAGGAGAATGAGGCAAAGGAGGAGAATGAGGCAAACGAGGAGAATGAGGCAAACGAGGAGAATGAGGCAAACGAGGAGAATGAGGCAAACGAGGAGAATGAGACGAATGAGGAGAATGAGGAGAATGAGGCAAACGAGGAGAATGAGGCAAACGAGGAGAATGAGGCAAACGAGGAGAATGAGGCAAATGAGGCAAATGAGGAGAATGAGGCAAATGAGGAGAATGAGGCAAATGAGGAGAATGAGGCAAACGAGGAGAATGAGGCAAACAAGGAGAATGAGGCAAACGAGGAGAATGAGGCAAACGAGGAGAATGAGGCAAACGAGGAGAATGAGGCAAATGAGGAGAATGAGGCAAACGAGGAGAATGAGGAGAATGAGGAGAATGAGGCAAACGAGGAGAATGAGGCAAACGAGGAGAATGAGGCAAACGAGGAAAATGAGGCAAACGAGGAAAATGAGGCAAACGAGGAGAATGAGGCAAACGAGGAGAATGAGGCAAACGAGGAGAATGAGGCAAAGGAGGAGAATGAGGCAAAGGAGGAGAATGAGGCAAACGAGGAGAATGAGGCAAACGAGGAGAATGAGGCAAACGAGGAGAATGAGGCAAAGGAGGAGAATGAGGCAAACGAGGAGAATGAGGCAAACGAGGAGAATGAGGCAAACGAGGAGAATGAGGCAAACGAGGAGAATGAGGCAAACGAGGAGAATGAGGCAAACGAGGAGAATGAGGCGAACGAGGAGAATGAGGCGAACGAGGAGAATGAGGCGGACGAGGAGAATGAGGCGGACGAGGAGAATGAGGCAAACGAGGAGAATGGGGAGAACGAGGAGAATGAGGAGAACGAGGAGAACGAGGAGAATGAGGCAAACGAGGAGAATGAGGCAAACGAGGAGAATGAGGCAAACGAGGAGAATGAGGCAAACGAGGAGAATGAGACGAATGAGGAGAATGAGGAGAATGAGGCAAACGAGGAGAATGAGGCAAACGAGGAGAATGAGGCAAACGAGGAGAATGAGGCAAACGAGGAGAATGAGGCAAACGAGGAGAATGAGGCAAATGAGGCAAATGAGGAGAATGAGGCAAATGAGGAGAATGAGGCAAATGAGGAGAATGAGGCAAATGAGGAGAATGAGGCAAACGAGGAGAATGAGGCAAACGAGGAGAATGAGGCAAACGAGGAGAATGAGGCAAACGAGGAGAATGAGGCAAACCAGGAGAATGAGGCAAACGAGGAGAATGAGGCGAACGAGGAGAATGAGGCGAACGAGGAGAATGAGGAGAACGAGGAGAATGAGGCGAACGAGGAGAATGAGGCAAACGAGGAGAATGAGGCAAACGAGGAGAATGAGGCAAACGAGGAGAATGAGGCAAACGAGGAGAATGAGGCAAACGAGGAGAATGAGGCAAACGAGGAGAATGAGGCAAACGAGGAGAATGAGGCAAACGAGGAGAATGAGGCAAACGAGGAGAATGAGGCAAACGAGGAGAATGAGGCAAACGAGGAGAATGAGGCAAACGAGGAGAATGAGGCAAACGAGGAGAATGAGGCAAACGAGGAGAATGAGGCAAACGAGGAGAATGAGGCAAACGAGGAGAATGAGGCAAACGAGGAGAATGAGGCAAACGAGGAGAATGAGGCAAACGAGGAGAATGAGGCAAACGAGGAGAATGAGGCAAACGAGGAGAATGAGGCAAACGAGGAGAACGAGGAGAACGAGGAGAACGAGGAGAATGAGGCAAACGAGGAGAATGAGGCAAACGAGGAGAATGAGGCAAACGAGGAGAATGAGGCGAACGAGGAGAATGAGACGAATGAGGAGAATGAGGAGAATGAGGCAAACGAGGAGAATGAGGCAAACGAGGAGAATGAGGCAAACGAGGAGAATGAGGCAAACGAGGAGAATGAGGCAAACAAGGAGAATGAGGCAAACGAGGAAAATGAGGCAAATGAGGCAAATGAGGAGAATGAAGCAAATGAGGAGAATGAGGCAAATGAGGAGAATCAGGCAAACGAGGAGAATGAGGCAAACAAGGAGAATGAGGCAAACGAGGAGAATGAGGCAAACGAGGAGAATGAGGCAAACGAGGAGAATGAGGCAAACGAGGAGAATGAGGCAAACGAGGAGAATGAGGCGAACGAGGAGAATGAGGCGAACGAGGAGAATGAGGCAGACGAGGAAAATGAGGCAGACGAGGAAAATGAGGCAAACGAGGAGAATGAGGCAAACGAGGAGAATGAGGCAAACGAGGAGAATGAGGCAAACGAGGAGAATGAGGCAAACGAGGAGAATGAGGCAAATGAGGAGAATGAGGCAAACGAGGAGAATGAGGAGAATGAGGAGAATGAGGCAAACGAGGAGAATGAGGAGAATGAGGCAAACGAGGAGAATGAGGCAAACGAGGAGAATGAGGCAAACGAGGAGAATGAGGCAAACGAGGAGAATGAGGCAAAGGAGGAGAATGAGGCAAAGGAGGAGAATGAGGCAAACGAGGAGAATGAGGCAAACGAGGAGAATGAGGCAAACGAGGAGAATGAGGCAAAGGAGGAGAATGAGGCAAAGGAGGAGAATGAGGCAAACGAGGAGAATGAGGCAAACGAGGAGAATGAGGCAAACGAGGAGAATGAAGCAAACGAGGAGAATGAGGCAAACGAGGAGAATGAGGCAAACGAGGAGAATGAGGCAAACGAGGAGAATGAGGCGAACGAGGAGAATGAGGCAAACGAGGAGAATGAGGAGAATGAGGCAAACGAGGAGAATGAGGCAAACGAGGAGAATGAGGCAAACGAGGAGAATGAGGCAAACGAGGAGAATGAGGCAAACGAGGAGAATGAGGCAAACGAGGAGAATGAGGCAAAGGAGGAGAACGAGGCAAAGGAGGAGAACGAGGCAAACGAGGAGAATGAGGCAAACGAGGAGAATGAGGCAAACGAGGAGAATGAGGCAAACGAGGAGAATGAGGCAAACGAGGAGAATGAGGCAAACGAGGAGAATGAGGCAAACGAGGAGAATGAGGCAAACGAGGAGAATGAGGCAAACGAGGAGAATGAGGCAAACGAGGAGAATGAGGCAAACGAGGAGAATGAGGAGAATGAGGCAAACGAGGAGAATGAAGAGAATGAGGCAAACGAGGAGAATGAGGCAAACGAGGAGAATGAGGCAAACGAGGAGAATGAGGCAAATGAGGAGAATGAGGCAAATGAGGAGAATGAGGAGAATGAGGCAAACGAGGAGAACGAGGCAAACGAGGGGAACGAGGCAAACGAGGAGAATGAGGCAAATGAGGAGAATGAGGCAAACGAGGAGAATGAGGCAAACGAGGAGAATGAGGCAAACGAGGAGAATGAGGCAAACGAGGAGAATGAGGCAAACGAGGAGAATGAGGAGAACGAGGAGAATGAGGAGAATGAGGCAAACGAGGAGAATGAGGCAAACGAGGAGAATGAGGCAAACGAGGAGAATGAGGCAAACGAGGAGAATGAGGCAAACGAGGAGAATGAGGCAAATGAGGAGAATGAGGCGAACGAGAAGAATAAGGAGAATGAGGCAAACGAGGAGAATGAGGCAAACGAGGAGAATGAGGCAAACGAGGAGAATGAGGCAAACGAGGAGAATGAGGCAAACGAGGAGAATGAGGCAAACGAGGAGAATGAGGCAAACGAGGAGAATGAGGCAAACGAGGAGAATGAGGCAAACGAGGAGAATGAGACGAATGAGGAGAATGAGGAGAATGAGGCAAACGAGGAGAATGAGGCAAACGAGGAGAATGAGGCAAACGAGGAGAATGAGGCAAATGAGGCAAATGAGGAGAATGAGGCAAATGAGGAGAATGAGGCAAATGAGGAGAATGAGGCAAACGAGGAGAATGAGGCAAACGAGGAGAACGAGGCAAACGAGGAGAATGAGGCAAATGAGGAGAATGAGGCAAACGAGGAGAATGAGGCAAACGAGGAGAATGAGGCAAACGAGGAGAATGAGGCAAACGAGGAGAATGAGGCAAACGAGGAGAATGAGGAGAACGAGGAGAATGAGGAGAATGAGGCAAACGAGGAGAATGAGGCAAACGAGGAGAATGAGGCAAACGAGGAGAATGAGGCAAACGAGGAGAATGAGGCAAACGAGGAGAATGAGACGAATGAGGAGAATGAGGAGAATGAGGCAAACGAGGAGAATGAGGCAAACGAGGAGAATGAGGCAAACGAGGAGAATGAGGCAAATGAGGCAAATGAGGAGAATGAGGCACATGAGGAGAATGAGGCAAATGAGGAGAATGAGGCAAACAAGGAGAATGAGGCAAACAAGGAGAATGAGGCAAACGAGGAGAATGAGGCAAACGAGGAGAATGAGGCAAACGAGGAGAATGAGGCAAACGAGGAGAATGAGGCAAACGATGAGAATGAGGAGAATGAGGAGAATGAGGCAAACGAGGAGAATGAGGCAAACGAGGAGAATGAGGCAAACGAGGAAAATGAGGCAAACGAGGAAAATGAGGCAAACGAGGAAAATGAGGCAAACGAGGAGAATGAGGCAAACGAGGAGAATGAGGCAAAGGAGGAGAATGAGGCAAAGGAGGAGAATGAGGCAAAGGAGGAGAATGAGGCAAACGAGGAGAATGAGGCAAACGAGGAGAATGAGGCAAAGGAGGAGAATGAGGCAAACGAGGAGAATGAGGCAAAGGAGGAGAATGAGGCAAAGGAGGAGAATGAGGCAAACGTGGAAAATGAGGCAAACGAGGAGAATGAGGCAAACGAGGAGAATGAGGCAAAGGAGGAGAATGAGGCAAACGAGGAGAATGAGGCAAACGAGGAGAATGAGGCAAACGAGGAGAATGAGGCAAACGACGAGAATGAGGCAAACGAGGAGAATGAGGCGAACGAGGAGAATGAGGCGAACGAGGAGAATGAGGCGGACGAGGAGAATGAGGCGGACGAGGAGAATGAGGCAAACGAGGAGAATGGGGAGAACGAGGAGAATGAGGAGAACGAGGAGAACGAGGAGAATGAGGCAAACGAGGAGAATGAGGCAAACGAGGAGAATGAGGCAAACGAGGAGAATGAGGAGAACGAGGAGAATGAGGAGAATGAGGCAAACGAGGAGAATGAGGCAAACGAGGAGAATGAGGCAAACGAGGAGAATGAGGCGAACTAGGAGAATGAGGCAAATGAGGAGAATGAGGCGAACGAGAAGAATAAGGAGAATGAGGCAAACGAGGAGAATGAGGCAAACGAGGAGAATGAGGTAAACGAGGAGAATGAGGCAAACGAGGAGAATGAGGCAAACGAGGAGAATGAGGCAAACGAGGAGAATGAGGCAAACGAGGAGAATGAGACGAATGAGGAGAATGAGGAGAATGAGGCAAACGAGGAGAATGAGGCAAACGAGGAGAATGAGGCAAACGAGGAGAATGAGGCAAATGAGGCAAATGAGGAGAATGAGGCAAATGAGGAGAATGAGGCAAATGAGGAGAATGAGGCAAACGAGGAGAATGAGGCAAACGAGGAGAACGAGGCAAACGAGGAGAACGAGGCAAACGAGGAGAATGAGGCAAATGAGGAGAATGAGGCAAACGAGGAGAATGAGGCAAACGAGGAGAATGAGGCAAACGAGGAGAATGAGGCAATCGAGGAGAATGAGGCAAACGAGGAGAATGAGGAGAACGAGGAGAATGAGGAGAATGAGGCAAACGAGGAGAATGAGGCAAACGAGGAGAATGAGGCAAACGAGGAGAATGAGGCAAACGAGGAGAATGAGGCAAATGAGGAGAATGAGGCGAACGAGAAGAATAAGGAGAATGAGGCAAACGAGGAGAATGAGGCAAACGAGGAGAATGAGGCAAACGAGGAGAATGAGGCAAACGAGGAGAATGAGGCAAACGAGGAGAATGAGGCAAACGAGGAGAATGAGGCAAACGAGGAGAATGAGACGAATGAGGAGAATGAGGAGAATGAGGCAAACGAGGAGAATGAGGCAAACGAGGAGAATGAGGCAAACGAGGAGAATGAGGCAAATGAGGCAAATGAGGAGAATGAGGCAAATGAGGAGAATGAGGCAAATGAGGAGAATGAGGCAAACGAGGAGAATGAGGCAAACAAGGAGAATGAGGCAAACGAGGAGAATGAGGCAAACGAGGAGAATGAGGCAAACGAGGAGAATGAGGCAAACGAGGAGAATGAGGAGAATGAGGAGAATGAGGCAAACGAGGAGAATGAGGCAAACGAGGAGAATGAGGCAAACGAGGAAAATGAGGCAAACGAGGAAAATGAGGCAAACGAGGAGAATGAGGCAAACGAGGAGAATGAGGCAAACGAGGAGAATGAGGCAAAGGAGGAGAATGAGGCAAAGGAGGAGAATGAGGCAAACGAGGAGAATGAGGCAAACGAGGAGAATGAGGCAAACGAGGAGAATGAGGCAAAGGAGGAGAATGAGGCAAACGAGGAGAATGAGGCAAACGAGGAGAATGAGGCAAACGAGGAGAATGAGGCAAACGAGGAGAATGAGGCAAACGAGGAGAATGAGGCAAACGAGGAGAATGAGGCGAACGAGGAGAATGAGGCGAACGAGGAGAATGAGGCGGACGAGGAGAATGAGGCGGACGAGGAGAATGAGGCAAACGAGGAGAATGGGGAGAACGAGGAGAATGAGGAGAACGAGGAGAACGAGGAGAATGAGGCAAACGAGGAGAATGAGGCAAACGAGGAGAATGAGGCAAACGAGGAGAATGGGGCAAACGAGGAGAATGAGACGAATGAGGAGAATGAGGAGAATGAGGCAAACGAGGAGAATGAGGCAAACGAGGAGAATGAGGCAAACGAGGAGAATGAGGCAAACGAGGAGAATGAGGCAAACGAGGAGAATGAGGCAAACGAGGAGAATGAGGCAAACGAGGAGAATGAGGCAAATGAGGCAAATGAGGAGAATGAGGCAAATGAGGAGAATGAGGCAAATGAGGAGAATGAGGCAAATGAGGAGAATGAGGCAAACGAGGAGAATGAGGCAAACGAGGAGAATGAGGCAAACGAGGAGAATGAGGCAAACGAGGAGAATGAGGCAAACGAGGAGAATGAGGCAAACGAGGAGAATGAGGCGAACGAGGAGAATGAGGCGAACGAGGAGAATGAGGAGAACGAGGAGAATGAGGCGAACGAGGAGAATGAGGCAAACGAGGAGAATGAGGCAACCGAGGAGAATGAGGCAAACGAGGAGAATGAGGCAAACGAGGAGAATGAGGCAAACGAGGAGAATGAGGCAAACGAGGAGAATGAGGCAAACGAGGAGAATGAGGCAAACGAGGAGAATGAGGCAAACGAGGAGAATGAGGCAAACGAGGAGAATGAGGCAAACGAGGAGAATGAGGCAAACGAGGAGAATGAGGCAAACGAGGAGAATGAGGCAAACGAGGAGAATGAGGCAAACGAGGAGAATGAGGCAAACGAGGAGAATGAGGCAAACGAGGAGAATGAGGCAAACGAGGAGAATGAGGCAAACGAGGAGAATGAGGCAAACGAGGAGAATGAGGCAAACGAGGAGAATGAGGAGAACGAGGAGAACGAGGAGAATGAGGCAAACGAGGAGAATGAGGCAAACGAGGAGAATGAGGCAAACGAGGAGAATGAGGCGAACGAGGAGAATGAGACGAATGAGGAGAATGAGGAGAATGAGGCAAACGAGGAGAATGAGGCAAACGAGGAGAATGAGGCAAACGAGGAGAATGAGGCGAACGAGGAGAATGAGGAGAACGAGGAGAATGAGGCGAACGAGGAGAATGAGGCAAACGAGGAGAATGAGGCAACCGAGGAGAATGAGGCAAACGAGGAGAATGAGGCAAACGAGGAGAATGAGGCAAACGAGGAGAATGAGGCAAACGAGGAGAATGAGGCAAACGAGGAGAATGAGGCAAACGACGAGAATGAGGCAAACGAGGAGAATGAGGCGAACGAGGAGAATGAGGCGAACGAGGAGAATGAGGCGGACGAGGAGAATGAGGCGGACGAGGAGAATGAGGCAAACGAGGAGAATGGGGAGAACGAGGAGAATGAGGAGAACGAGGAGAACGAGGAGAATGAGGCAAACGAGGAGAATGAGGCAAACGAGGAGAATGAGGCAAACGAGGAGAATGAGGAGAACGAGGAGAATGAGGAGAATGAGGCAAACGAGGAGAATGAGGCAAACGAGGAGAATGAGGCAAACGAGGAGAATGAGGCGAACTAGGAGAATGAGGCAAATGAGGAGAATGAGGCGAACGAGAAGAATAAGGAGAATGAGGCAAACGAGGAGAATGAGGCAAACGAGGAGAATGAGGTAAACGAGGAGAATGAGGCAAACGAGGAGAATGAGGCAAACGAGGAGAATGAGGCAAACGAGGAGAATGAGGCAAACGAGGAGAATGAGACGAATGAGGAGAATGAGGAGAATGAGGCAAACGAGGAGAATGAGGCAAACGAGGAGAATGAGGCAAACGAGGAGAATGAGGCAAATGAGGCAAATGAGGAGAATGAGGCAAATGAGGAGAATGAGGCAAATGAGGAGAATGAGGCAAACGAGGAGAATGAGGCAAACGAGGAGAACGAGGCAAACGAGGAGAACGAGGCAAACGAGGAGAATGAGGCAAATGAGGAGAATGAGGCAAACGAGGAGAATGAGGCAAACGAGGAGAATGAGGCAAACGAGGAGAATGAGGCAATCGAGGAGAATGAGGCAAACGAGGAGAATGAGGAGAACGAGGAGAATGAGGAGAATGAGGCAAACGAGGAGAATGAGGCAAACGAGGAGAATGAGGCAAACGAGGAGAATGAGGCAAACGAGGAGAATGAGGCAAATGAGGAGAATGAGGCGAACGAGAAGAATAAGGAGAATGAGGCAAACGAGGAGAATGAGGCAAACGAGGAGAATGAGGCAAACGAGGAGAATGAGGCAAACGAGGAGAATGAGGCAAACGAGGAGAATGAGGCAAACGAGGAGAATGAGGCAAACGAGGAGAATGAGACGAATGAGGAGAATGAGGAGAATGAGGCAAACGAGGAGAATGAGGCAAACGAGGAGAATGAGGCAAACGAGGAGAATGAGGCAAACGAGGAGAATGAGGCAAACGAGGAGAATGAGGCAAACGAGGAGAATGAGGCAAACGAGGAGAATGAGGCAAACGAGGAGAATGAGGCAAACGAGGAGAATGAGGCAAACGAGGAGAATGAGGCAAACGAGGAGAATGAGGCAAACGAGGAGAATGAGGCAAACGAGGAGAATGAGGCAAACGAGGAGAATGAGGCAAACGAGGAGAATGAGGCAAACGAGGAGAATGAGGCAACGAGGAGAATGAGGAGAACGAGGAGAACGAGGAGAATGAGGCAAACGAGGAGAATGAGGCAAACGAGGAGAATGAGGCAAACGAGGAGAATGAGGCGAACGAGGAGAATGAGACGAATGAGGAGAATGAGGAGAATGAGGCAAACGAGGAGAATGAGGCAAACGAGGAGAATGAGGCAAACGAGGAGAATGAGGCAAACGAGGAGAATGAGGCAAACGAGGAGAATGAGGCAAATGAGGCAAATGAGGAGAATGAAGCAAATGAGGAGAATGAGGCAAATGAGGAGAATGAGGCAAACGAGGAGAATGAGGCAAACAAGGAGAATGAGGCAAACGAGGAGAATGAGGCAAACGAGGAGAATGAGGCAAACGAGGAGAATGAGGCAAACGAGGAGAATGAGGCAAACGAGGAGAATGAGGCGAACGAGGAGAATGAGGCGAACGAGGAGAATGAGGCAGACGAGGAAAATGAGGCAGAAGAGGAAAATGAGGCAAACGAGGAGAATGAGGCAAACGAGGAGAATGAGGCAAACGAGGAGAATGAGGCAAACGAGGAGAATGAGGCAAACGAGGAGAATGAGGCAAATGAGGAGAATGAGGCAAACGAGGAGAATGAGGAGAATGAGGAGAATGAGGCAAACGAGGAGAATGAGGAGAATGAGGCAAACGAGGAGAATGAGGCAAACGAGGAGAATGAGGCAAACGAGGAGAATGAGGCAAACGAGGAGAATGAGGCAAAGGAGGAGAATGAGGCAAAGGAGGAGAATGAGGCAAACGAGGAGAATGAGGCAAACGAGGAGAATGAGGCAAACGAGGAGAATGAGGCAAAGGAGGAGAATGAGGCAAAGGAGGAGAATGAGGCAAACGAGGAGAATGAGGCAAACGAGGAGAATGAGGCAAACGAGGAGAATGAGGCAAACGAGGAGAATGAGGCAAACGAGGAGAATGAGGCAAACGAGGAGAATGAGGCAAACGAGGAGAATGAGGCGAACGAGGAGAATGAGGCAAACGAGGAGAATGAGGAGAATGAGGCAAACGAGGAGAATGAGGCAAACGAGGAGAATGAGGCAAACGAGGAGAATCAGGCAAACGAGGAGAATGAGGCAAACGAGGAGAATGAGGCAAACGAGGAGAATGAGGCAAAGGAGGAGAATGAGGCAAAGGAGGAGAATGAGGCAAACGAGGAGAATGAGGCAAACGAGGAGAATGAGGCAAACGAGGAGAATGAGGCAAACGAGGAGAATGAGGCAAACGAGGAGAATGAGGCAAACGAGGAGAATGAGGCAAACGAGGAGAATGAGGCAAACGAGGAGAATGAGGCAAACGAGGAGAATGAGGCGAACGAGGAGAATGAGGCGAACGAGGAGAATGAGGCGGACGAGGAGAATGAGGCGGACGAGGAGAATGAGGCAAACGAGGAGAATGAGGAGAACGAGGAGAATGAGGAGAACGAGGAGAACGAGGAGAATGAGGCAAACGAGGAGAATGAGGCAAACGAGGAGAATGAGGCAAACGAGGAGAATGAGGCAAACGAGGAGAATGAGACGAATGAGGAGAATGAGGAGAATGAGGCAAACGAGGAGAATGAGGCAAAGAGGAGAATGAGGCAAACGAGGAGAATGAGGCAAACGAGGAGAATGAGGCAAACGAGGAGAATGAGGCAAATGAGGCAAATGAGGAGAATGAGGCAAATGAGGAGAATGAGGCAAATGAGGAGAATGAGGCAAACGAGGAGAATGAGGCAAACAAGGAGAATGAGGCAAACGAGGAGAATGAGGCAAACGAGGAGAATGAGGCAAACGAGGAGAATGAGGCGAACGAGGAGAATGAGGCGAACGAGGAGAATGAGGCGAACGAGGAGAATGAGGCGAACGAGGAGAATGAGGCGAACGAGGAGAATGAGGCGAACGAGGAGAATGAGGCAAACGAGGAGAATGAGGCAAACGAGGAGAATGAGGCAAACGAGGAGAATGAGGCAAACGAGGAGAATGAGGCAAACGAGGAGAATGAGGCAAACGAGGAGAATGAGGCCAACGAGGAGAATGAGGCCAACGAGGAGAATGAGGCGAACGAGGAGAATGAGGCGAACGAGGAGAATGAGGCGAACGAGGAGAATGAGGCGAACGAGGAGAATGAGGCGAACGAGGAGAATGAGGCGAACGAGGAGAATGAGGCGAACGAGGAGAATGAGGCGAACGAGGAGAATGAGGCAAACGAGGAGAATGAGGCAAACGAGGAGAATGAGGCAAACGAGGAGAATGAGGCAAACGAGGAGAATGAGGCGAACGAGGAGAATGAGGCGAACGAGGAGAATGAGGCGAACGAGGAGAATGAGGCGAACGAGGAGAATGAGGCGAACGAGGAGAATGAGGCGAACGAGGAGAATGAGGCCAACGAGGAGAATGAGGCAAACGAGGAGAATGAGGCAAACGAGGAGAATGAGGCAAACGAGGAGAATGAGGCAAACGAGGAGAATGAGGAGAATGAGGCAAACGAGGAGAATGAGGCAAATGAGGAGAATGAGGCAAACGAGGAGAATGAGGCAAACGAGGAGAATGAGGCGAACGAGGAGAATGAGGCAAACGAGGAGAATGAGGCAAACGAGGAGAATGAGGCAAACGAGGAGAATGAGGCAAACGAGGAGAATGAGGCAAACGAGGAGAATGAGGCAAACGAGGAGAATGAGGAGAATGAGGCAAACGAGGAGAATGAGGCAAACGAGGAGAATGAGGCAAACGAATGAGGCAACTGAGGAGAATGAGGCAAACGAGGAGAATGAGGCAAAGGAGGAGAATGAGGCAAAGGAGGAGAATGAGGCAAAGGAGGAGAATGAGGCAAACGAGGAGAATGAGGCAAATGAGGAGAATGAGGCAAACGAGGAGAATGAGGCAAACGAGGAGAATGAGGCAAACGAGGAGAATGAGGCAAACGAGGAGAATGAGGCAAACGAGGAGAATGAGGCAAACGAGGAGAATGAGGCAAACGAGGAGAATGAGGCAAACGAGGAGAATGAGGCAAACGAGGAGAATGAGGCAAACGAGGAGAATGAGGCAAAGGAGGAGAATGAGGCAAACGAGGAGAATGAGGAAAACGAGGAGAATGAGGCAAACGAGGAGAATGAGGCGAACAAGGAGAATGAGGCAAACGAGGAGAATGAGGAGAATGAGGCAAACGAGGAGAATGAGGCAAACGAGGAGAATGAGGCAAACGAGGAGAATGAGGCAAATGAGGAGAATGAGGCAAACGAGGAGAATGAGGCAAATGAGGAGAATGAGGCAAACGAGGAGAATGAGGCAAACGAGGAGAATGGGGCAAATGAGGAGAATGAGGCAAACGAGGAGAATGAGGCAATCGAGGAGAATGAGGCAAATGAGGAGAATGAGGAGTACGAGGTGGACGCACAGGCAAGCAGCATGGGCACGAGGGGCTCTAGAGCACGTGCTGTGCTGTCACGTGCATGCAGCACAACCCACCGGCCCACCCACACATGCCTCTGCTGCCCACACTGCATGCAGCACGGCACCTGGCGCCCTATGACAATCCCCAACGCTCGTTTCTCATGACCCCCGCCGCTCACCATGCCAATGATGCCACTGCCTCCATGCCCGCATGCCCATCCGCTCCCCCCCCCTTGCCGCCACCTCCTCGCCCCCCACCGCCTGCCCCTCCCCTGCGCTCACCACTCTCGCCTGCCTTCCCCCCCGCCCTGCCTCCTGCCTCCTTCGGCCTCACTAGGGTCACACCCTCTTCTAGGTCACACACTGCCACGTGGCAGAATGCTGCCATCCACCTTACCACCTCCCACGCTGCAGCCATAACGACCTGTGACCCTCCCACCTGCTCCTCCCCCCCACCCGCCCTGCATTCACTCCCCCCACTGCCCATCTGCTCTTCATTGCTGTTCTGGGCGCATCCTGGCCGTCCATCCACCCTGCCACCCAGCAGTGCAGGCATCAACACAGATTCGGACAAGCCTGCCACCCGCAGCACGGCCGGGTCATGATGGCCGCCCGGCCAGCGCAGGAGGCTCGCTGCGGTCTGCCAGGCAGATGCTGCCACGTGGCTGGCTGCTGAGTCATCACGTGCTGAGCTGGCGGGCGAGGAGGAAGATGAGATAAGGCGGAGGGAGGGCGGATGGGGGCAGTGGCAGGGGGGCAGGCGGAGCGGTGTGACGGCTGCTTGCAGGGCGAAGGCGAGGAGGGGAGCAAGAGGCGATGCAGGAGCAGCAGAACTATTGGCGGTGGAGGAAGAAGTGGGAAGGCAGGCAGCAGCACAGGATGGGTGGCTCTGCACACACACACGGGGAAGGGTGAGGGAGAGAGAGCGCGAGAGAGCGAAAGGCAGTGCGGAGAGATTGCTCGGGATGGGAGCAACAATGGTGGTGGCTGGGCAAACAGGAACGAGCAGCGAGTGAGGACGGTGATGTGGAGCGAGAGCAGCATGCATGGCATGAGTACTTAATGGCCCTGTCGACAAGTCTGAGTCAAGGAGGGGCGTGCATGGCAAGGAGGGGCGTGCATGGCAAGGAGGGGCGTGCATGGCAAGGGACGTGCATGCAAGGAAGGAGCGTACAGCGAGTGCTCGCAGCAGCGAGAGGGCAGCTTGGCGGCAGGCGGGACAGGCAATGAGGGAGGAGGAGGCGGAGGAGGATTGTGCGGAGGGTGTTGGTGAGAGGTGTAGCGTGAGAGAAGGGATGAGGCGGAGGGTCGGGTGCAGCAGCACATGGCACAACGAGGGGTCCTGCGCTGCGAGGCGAGGGGGGTGGTGTGGTGCATGGGGCGCAGGGGGGTGGATTGGCGCACAAGGAGGGGGACAAACGGGTTGGTGCACGGTGAGGGGGGCACGCCGCACACGTGTTGACGCATGGGGAGGCGGAAACACAGGTTAGCGCATGGGGATCATGCGTTGGCACTCAGATAAGCTTGAGATTCTCTGTTACGAGCATCGAGCCTGGATGCACATGGGGTGCAAGTGCAATCACCTTACCTTGAAACACATACAGAACACAAAGAGAGGCGAACGGGAAACAGTCACACGGCCCACTCACCCATGGCAGTGAGAAGGCTCAACGCTGCTTCCGAAACAGCAGCAGCAGAACCATCCATGTGTGCCCCATGCGGCAGCGGCAGGGCCATGACCACCAGCTGCGCCATGCGCCCCCTGCCACCTGACAGCTGTGTTGGCCTGTGCAGCAGCTCCCTTTTCACCTCCCTGCCACCTGCCGGGCAGCGCTGCACCAGCAGCAGAAGCACGTGCAGCACTGCTGCCACCGCTGCTGCCTGCCTGCCCTGCCACGGGGCAATAGGCTCGTCGCCATTACTGCTGCTGTTGCTGCTGCCTTGGCTGGTGATATCTGTGTGTGCGCTACTGCACGCGCTGCTCTGCGCCCTTGACCCTCCATCCGCTCCTGCCACTCCCCCACACGCCTCCTTACCACAAGAAGCAGCACTGGTGTGAGCATGCATCTCTCCCCCGCCCATGCCACCTTCCCTTTCCCCCACATCCATCACCGCTTCCCCTCCCACAACTCTCGCATCCCCTGCACCTGTTGCCCTCCATAGCCACTCAGCAGCCCGCGTCACCACGCCTCCCCTACTCTTCCCTCCACCATCCCTGCCCTTGCTGCCTTTGCTGCCCATGCTACCCGTGCTACCCGTGCTGGCCTGCGTGCCATGACTGCTGAGAGCAGGTGCGGAGCGTGACAGGTGGAGGCGCCACAGCGCGGCGAGCAAGGGGGCGGTGAGGGTGGCGAGCGGCGGGACGAGGGGCGAGGTGGACGAGGGGGGAGAAAGGAGCACAGTGGGAGGGGGTGCGAGGAGGGAAGGGGGGAGGGCGGGAATGGGGGCGTGGCGGAGTGGGCGGGAGAGCGGGTGTGGAGGCAGGGCGAGGAGCGAGGCAGCGAGGGCAGTGCAGGCGTCCAGCACCACGTGGTCGTCTGGTGCAGACAGAGAGAGCAGGTGGGTGCAGGCGCAAAGGGCACACGCAGCACACACACGGGGCACCCAATGTAGGCCGGCGCAGACAAGGAGGGGAGGAGAGGGCGCAGGGCATGTTGAGTTGAGTTGAAGGATGTGAGCAGGCGGTGGGGAAGCAGGGGGCTTCACACGGGGCGGTGTATGGGGCAGGGCAGTAAGGAACAGAGAGAGAGGGCTTCAAGGGGCTGTGCCGGCGGGGCGGGGTGCTTGAAACACAGCACAGCAGTGGCGTCAAGGGACAGCACGCAGAGCAGAGCAGCGAGGGAGCACAGCACATGCATTTCTGTGCGCACAGCAGAGCAGAGCACACGCACGGTGCATCACACCACCAGCAGAGCGCAGCCATGTGTGCCCTGCAGCACTGCAGCACGACAACCACCACCTCTCCAGCCAGCCAGCCATCACCCCACCCGCAACAGCCTTGCCGCGTGGATTGCCTCACCCATGCTCTAATCCACGTGGCACCTCCCACACCCCCACATCCCCCACACCTCCCACACCCCCACATCCCCCACACCTCCCACACCCCCACATCCCCCACACCTCCCACACCCCCACATCCCCCACACCTCCCACACCCCCACATCCCCCACACCTCCCACACCCCCACATCCCCCACACCTCGCACACCCCCACATCCCCCACACCCCCCACCACTCCCACACCCCCACAACCCCCACACCTCCCACACCCCCACATCCCCCACACCCCCCACCACTCCCACACCCCCCACAACCCCCACACCTCCCACACCCCCACATCCCCCACACCTCGCACACCCCCACATCCCCCACACCCCCCACCACTCCCACACCCCCACAACCCCCACACCTCCCACACCCCCACATCCCCCACACCCCCCACCACTCCCACACCCCCCACAACCCCCACACCTCCCACACCCCCACATCCCCCACACCTCGCACACCCCCACATCCCCCACACCCCCCACCACTCCCACACCCCCACAACCCCCACACCTCCCACACCCCCACATCCCCCACACCCCCCACCACTACCACACCCCCCACAACCCCCACACCTCCCACACCCCCCACACACCCCACACCCCTCACCCCTCCCACACCCCCCACCCCTCCCACACCTCCCACACCCTGTCCCAGCCGGCCCAACCTCCCGACACTGGCCTCACCGGGGGCATCAACATAGGCGGAGAGGGCGAGCAGCATGGCGCCCGTGACACTCTCCCGCCACCACCGCCCCCCCACAGTGGCCATGCGCGCACACACGCGCACCGCTGCCTGCCGCAGCGACGCCAGCGCTGGTGGCGCGCTGAACGCCAGCAGGTGCAGCAGCGCCGCACACGATGCCTCATAGTGTGCCTGGTGGGGCGGGGGGGGGAGAGGGGGGGGTTGGCGGGAAGGGAGGGGGATGGGGAGGAGGGGAGGAAGGGAGCATGTGGGAACGAGAGGTGGGGAGGGCGCAGTTGGGCATGGTGAGCCAGACGTAGATAAGACATAAAGGGGCACCCCAGCATTTTCCGCCAGCACTCTCTGCTCATGACCCGCCAATCAACGGCATGCCAGCAGCCCAGCTCTCACCCTCACTGCCGCCCCTCTCACCCTCACTGCCGCCCCTCTCACCCTCACTGCCCGCCTGCACGCCACGTCACTCCAGAGAGGCATCTCATTGGCCGCCACGAAGTCGAGCAATCGCTGCACGCCACGTAGCAGCTGATTGTGCAAGGCAGGGTCTTGGGACGCCCACTGCCACTGCCACGTGTCCTGCCAAGGGGCTGCTCCCTGCCACGTGGCAGCAGCACAGCTGCCATTAGTGGCAGGACGTGCAGTCGTGGAGGTTGGTGGAAAAGAACCTGCTGGCGTGCACCATGCACCATGCACCATGGACGATGCACCATGCACCATGCACCATGCCATCATGTCATGCCATGCATCATCAATCGAGCAACATGCCTTACAGCATGCACCCATACACCATGCCATGTCATGCATTCAGAAGCGACGCGTGATGTGATGAGTGTGATGCTGCACAAGGAGGTTCAGCAACTGAAGAGAGTGGGTAGGGGGGAGACGGAGGGGTGGGGCGAGAGGGGGGAGCAGAGAGAGAGGCGGCTGCCAGCGTCAAGCAGCACAGCAACAGGCCACGCCTCGCGCTACCCACGCATCCCCAACCTCTCGCTCCTCACTCCCCTTAGACATCCTCTCGCTACTCGCCACCGCCAGGGCGAGGAAGCGCGCGGTGAGGCGGCGCGAGGCCAGGGGAAGGGGAAGCGGGGCGGAGGCGGCACCTTTCCAGGCGACGGCGAGGGCGGCGGCGAGCGGCTTCTGCGCCTCGTCCAGCGACCGCTGCAGCTGCTGCCGCCGCGCCTCCCGCTCGCGCGACTCCCGCTCGCGCGCGCTTTCGTGGCTTGGCTTCGCGCCGCCGCCTTCGCCGCGCTGCGCTCTGCCTGGCGGCGCTAGGCGCACTCGAGCGCCACGCGCCGCATCCATGGCGGCCGCATGTACCGCGGCGTCGCGTGTGGCTCGTTCGCGGCGTTGTTTGTTCGCTTCGACAACTTATCCGCAGTACGCGTTCACCCTGGTACACGAAGCCGTCGAGTAAAACTGAAACAATTTACTGCATCCGTGAGAGGCGTGCAATTTGTGTTACTCAAAAAGTAATTGCTGTGCTTCAAATCACACAAATATCTATCATATGCATGCCTTCTTATAACGAGCCTTCGTCCTCAAAACGAAGCATCGATTCAGGGGCGACCTCTCCTCTGCCCCTGTTCCATTGCCACTACGCAGCCAATCATCCGCTACGTGTGTACCGTACCGCGCTCTCTGCTCCCGCGCTCTTTCTCGCCGCGACGTCACTGCCTCCGCTCACCACGGTCAGTTCGCCATCCGTGACTCCCGCGCTCTCCGGATATACCTCCATCCATCCATCGCGTCCGCCTTCGCGCCCGTTCCCTCGCGTCTCGACTCCTCGCAGCGGCGCCCACCGCCGTGACTGTTGAGTCGACTTTAGAAGTCACCTGCGCTCATCGCTCACCTCCGCGCGCCTGCATTGGCGCGCCATGAGCGGCGGCGTCGCGGGCGCGCACAGTCCGCTGCCAGCTGTCGCGTGGCAACCGCACCTCCTCAGCGCGAGCGCTGCGCGTGCGGGCGGACGGCTGGGGTGGCGGCAGTGGTGCGACCGTGAGTCGGGGTGTCTGCGGCTGAGCGACGCGGGCGACTCCCGACGAAAGCATTGCGACTCGCCGCGGCGACTGCGACGGTCGCACAGCCAGCAACGATCGCATGCACGGTGTGAGGTAGTCGCACAGTCGGTCTGCAGCTGCCCCGTCGCCCTCGCTCGCGTTCCACTGCTGTCACTGGCCTTTCGCAATGCCCGCCTCGCACGTATGCTTCCTCGGGCGCATGCTACCCCGAGCGCATGCTTCCGCAGCGCCCATCTGAAGCGGCAGCACCTGCGGCCATGGCCCTCCTCGGCCTCCTGTCCCCCTCCCTCGTCGCCGCCGCATTTCCTCCCGTTTCCTGCAATGCCCCTCTCATTCCCTTCCTCCCTCTCCCACCTCCGTCCCAAAGCCTCCTCCCATTCCCCTCCCATTCCCCTACTCGTCGCCTCCGCCTCCGCCCCCCTCGCCCCCTCCCGCCCCAGGCGGCGGCGCCCGCGAAGATAGAGATCCGCGGGTTGACGCGGAGGGCGGCGAGCACGGGCGCGCTGATCCTGGACGGCGTGGCGCTGCGCGTGGCGCGCGGGCAGCTGTTCGGGCTGATAGGGCCGTCGGGCAGCGGCAAGTCCACGCTGCTGCGCGCCATCAACCGCCTGTGGGAGCCCACACGTGGCACCGTGTGGGTGGACGGCTGTGACGTCACCACCATGGACGTGCAGCAGCTGCGGCGCCGCGTGGGCATGGTGTTCCAGAGCCCGCACCTCTTCCCTGGTAGGCCCTCCCCGCACCCCAGCTCTGCTTGCTCCGCTACCCATCCCTCCCAACCCCTCCCGACCCCTCCCGACCTCATGTTCCCCATCTCGCCTTCCCTTCCTCTCCTCTCCAAGTGCCCTCGCCCCAACTGCTCGCCCTCGCATCGCACCCACATGCGCACTCTTTCTCTCGCACCACACCCGGTTCGTCTCTGTTGTTCAACGAGCATCCATTGCCCTCTGCGCCAACATTCCCCCGCCCCAATTCCTGGCCTGCTTACCCTCTTTACCCCGTGCTCGGTACTTGGCAGCTGCGCTCGCCCCATTTGCTCGTCCACTCTTCGTGCGTGTTGCTGCTTCATTGCTCAGCCCTCGCATGCATGTGTGTCGTGCCCCTCATGTCATGCTCGCCTGTCCCACACCTGCCTCTGTCTCATGCCTCTTCTCAGCTCCACGCCACCATCAGTCGTTCATCTGGGCCTCCACACAACCCACCCTCTCACCTTCTTCCCACCCCCTCATCACACCCATACCTCCCTCCCTCTCCCCCTCAACCCCCCAGGCACGGTGGCGGACAACGTGAGGTACGGGCCGGGGCTGCAGGGAGTGGCGGTTGGGGTGGAGGAGCAGCAGAGCCTGCTGCTGCGCGCCGGGCTCGACCCCTCCTCCGACTTCCTGCACCGCGCCGCCCACGAGCTGTCGGGCGGCGAGGCGCAGCGCGTGTCCATCGCACGCGCCCTCGCCAACTCGCCCCAGGTGCTGCTTCTGCTGGATTCTTACCCACGAGCTCGCTGGACCCTCTGTTGTTGCAAGCAGCACGTTTTGTTGTGAGAATTCTTAAAAATCACCTCCATCGTGCACCCCCGCCGTCTCGCCAACTGCCACCCAGGTGTTACTGCTGGACGAGCCCACGAGCTCACTGGACCCCACGGCCACGCGCAAGGTGGAGGAGACGATAGAGCGGCTGCGGCGAGAGGAGGGGCTGACAGTGGTGTTGGTGTCGCACAGCATGCCGCAGATCGAACGCGTGGCGGATGTCACCGCGCTGCTCAGTCAGGGCCGCGTGGTGGAGGTGGGGCCGCCGGGGGAGCTCAGGGAGAGTGATAATCCGGACGTTGCTAGCTTTTTCACTGGGGAGCTCAGCTGACCTGCCCGTGTGTGTGGTGCCGTGGATGCTGAGTGTACAAGGGAAGGGTTGTCGCCGTAGTCTATGTTCAGTTTGTATGCAACGCAAAGTTGCAAATCAGTTTTGCATGCAATGCGAGATCAGGGTTGGTAGTGGAGCGCACAGCCTGAAAGCAGCCATGCCTACAGCACAGGAATGGGGATGGCGACTTCGACGGTGCAGATGCTCAGGCATGCAATGATTGTATTCGAACTGAGTGTGCTTGTTTCTCCCAACTCTAGGTTTGCGGAGAATTGAGCAAAAGAAAGTCGTCTCAAAGAATGGAATAATATTCAAAACATTACTTCAAGAATAATGAAAATCGATATACAGGCCACAGCCAATCTCAGCATTCTCAACATCGATGCTAGAAAAAATGCCTGTCAAAAAACGCCTAGCGCGGCAGACGGAGCGAGTTATGTACAGCTGCACGCACTGGCGCGTCGCGAGGGGAGACAGGATCGGAAAGCGCAGCGCAGGCGGCTTCACCACTGGTCGTCGCCGCCGTTCCAGCGCTGCTCGCACGACGCCCACCGCGTCAGGCGGTTAGCGGCCAGTACTTGTCTCCTGGCGCTGCGACCGTTATTGCTGCTGCTGCGGCGGTGGCTGCGCGGCACTCTCTGGTCGCCCGTTTCCAGCGGCGCTGAATGCGCGCGAGGGATGATGTCGCCCCGCGCCGCTGCCGCTGCTTGGATGTGACTGTAGCGAGTCCCCATTCTCCTTCCCCTGCCCGACTCCCAGTCATCTCTCAACTCGTCGCCGCAGCTCTCTCCCTCGCTCAGAAACGACTGTAACATGGTAACAAACTGTTCGCAGCGGATCGCGTTGAGTTCGCGCTGCGCGTCGAGCAGCGAGAGCCGGCCTTCCAGCGCGAGCAGATCGAGATCCGCGTGACTATCGCGCTCGCGTCGCGAGAAAGGAACCTGGTCCGCGTGACACGTGGCGAGCACAGCCGGCGATTGCCGGGAGGAGACATCAAGGGTCGGTCGGATGAGCTTGGTGGTCGCCATTGAGAATTGATGCGCGACCTCAAAAGCGAATTCAATATGCGTGTTTCAACCAGCTGCAAGCACCGAGCGCGTTGGTGCCTGTAGTAGGCGTCGGAAGAAACTTGAGTGGCGCTCAAGCAGTTGGAGGGTAGAACGGAAAAGCTGAACATTGCGTTGAAGCTGGCAGCTTTATCCCCATCGGCACCGCCGTGGGATTCGGCGTCTCAGACTCACTCGCTTGGGATGGGAGGGATACAGTAGAGCGGAAGTCAAGCATCGAAGGTACAGTGGTACCCTGACATTGCACAGCCTGGTGCACTGTTGCGCCTCAATTCACCTCGGTATTCGCCCGCTGTGAGAATCTTAGATTCTTAGATCGCACATCGAGCCTGTCGGTTCGACTGGCCTTCCTAGCCAAGCCTAAGGGAGCAGCCACCAATGCGGTGCGACGATGGGCCAATGAGAAATTTCGCAGGCCTTGGATCCTCCGCGTGAACGTCATCCCTGACGTCATCTGTCTGTGTGCACCATTACGCCGGTGAGCGAATTGAAATGAACACAAGGGCGAAGTACCAGCCTCGGTCGGGTAAGGCGTCTCCATACACTGCTCGCACTTGCTCTGTAATCCGCGTAGGGTCATGCTGTACTGTGACATTACTACAGCGCATTCTGCGCTCCCCGGCCGTTACTGAGCACATTCGCCCCCTCGCCCAGCACTGGTGAACGCGGTAGGCGCGGTATGGGCTTGGATGAGGCTGAAGAGGGGCGGAGGGAGTTGCGTGGCTCGGAGCGAATTCACGCCGTGGGGTGTGGAGTGGACGCCTTGTGGTCGATGGTGCGAATGAGCATATCACATCCGATCTCGCTCGATACGTCGACTAGAGTTACATAATGGGGTGAAAGGAGTCGGCCTTGCCTTTCTGAAAGGGTACTGAGCGTGAAAGGAGACGGTCGTTGAGGTTCCGTGAAGAAATGTCCTCCTAGACTATCGTCAGACCTGAGCGTCGCTGGGCAAGTCAGTAACCACACGTTTATCTTCCCTTGTTCAAAGTGAAGCACACACAAAAAATAACTGGAGCCTCGTCCAATAGTTCACCTGCTAAATATTTCGGACAAAATGCATCTGCACAGCGAGGAAACAAGTTCACCGCAAAGATTCCGCACCCCATTGCATCAGCTATTCCTCCTTCCATCCACGGATCGACCCATGCATTTCCTTTTCGGGGACATGAAGCTCCAGTTACGAGAGCAAGCTGGAGCCTCAAGCCAATTCAGACGAAACAGTTTCCGCTCAGGCGGGCAGCATTTCCTTCCAACAGTTTATCCAAGCCCAAGTGATTTCCATGGCTGCAATTCGTCGATCTGGTCAAACCAAATCTAATCGCTTTGCACCCGTCAAAGCCTCAAGTGACCTCGTGCCAGTCTGCCGTAGGGAAGAGCAGGAAGAAGGCAATCGAGCATTGGGTTGGGGGGGAGGGGAATGAGTTTACCCCTATAAGCTGCCTCGTTAACACGGGCAGTCCCTACAAACCAAAACACATATAGAAATCGAATGATAGTATCTCTTTCTATCACTGATAACCAGGAAAGGTTAAAGCTCTTGGAAGCAAGTAACTTAACGCTTCTGATGTGTCGGAACATCGAACTGTAAACGAAGAAAATAGCAACGAAGCAACGACGAGTCAACCATCGGAGGTTGACAAACTGCTGGAGGTTACGCGAAGGTCAAAGGTCAGCGACAGTTGACTCGACAAATACAGCGCGACTGCAAGGACAAACAAATTACTCGATACTGAGCAACAGCAACAGCAAAACAGTTATTAGTTGCACCCTTTCATATTCCTTGTAATCTTATAAAAGGCTTGTATTACTTTTCTACAATCAATCTATCTTGCCCTCACACACTAGCGCAAGGTAGTTCAACACTTGTCATTAAACGCTTCCGCAACTACAGCACTTCTACTCAGAGTTAAGCCTTGAGAAGATCCTAAGGGCTTTTTCTCAGGCCAACAAAAGCTAAGGGCCTCAATTGGAAAACAAATTGAAGGCCTTTGCAATCTTGCGCCTGAACCTTAGCGTTTTTTTTGTTTTGTTTTGTTTTGTTTTGTTTTGTTTTTTTTTTTTTTTTGTTAAGCATCATCAGTGTCGCCATCACAGTTCGTCAGTTTTTCCATTCCAAGTGAGCCCACAACCATGTACTAAGTGTCAGAAGTAGGATGGGCAAGACAGAATTGTATAGCCTAACCCTAACCTTAAAATATTGTACCCTTTAGTGTATGCCCCACGACGGGTATGCCCCACTACGGCCTACAGAACAAATACAATTTGACACACCTCTATAGGCAAAGTGGGGGATAGCAAACACAGCGGATGATCACAAGACCAGTCAAGCAAGAGAACAAGCAAAACAAAGCTCAGGGTGGATCTTAAAATCACCACACATTCTGAGCATAAGCAAGCGGCCACAAGGCCAGTTCACATGCAGAGTTATAAAGCACAAGCAGTACAGTGATCACAACCTAGCAAGAACAAGCATGCAGGTATATATGTATAGATCACAGTACAAGACAAGTCAAGCAACCAGCAGGTGAGGCAAAGTAGGTACAAGGCCTAGAGCAGTGCAGAAACGTTGATGATCACCAGACCCAAGGGCCTTGGTGAAGACATCAGCAGTGTTGGCCCGAGAGGCCACGTAAGCAAGGCGCAGCTGACCATGCTGCTGCAGCTCCCGAGAAACGAAGTAACGAAGAGCAATGTGCTTCGTTCTATGCTCCAGTCTCTGCTCTTGACACAAGGCAATCATGGCCTTGTTGTCAAAGTACAGAACTGGAGGAGAACGAGGCCGCTCACCCAAGTCGGTCAGCAGGTAGGTGAGTCAGCGTAACTTCTGTGCAGCCATGGCCCCAGCGTAGATCTCGGCCTCACAGCTGGAACCAAGCACAGAAGACGAACGAGTGGACCTCCACGAGACAGAACCAGAGCCGAGTCTGAAAGAGTAACCCTGGGACAACCGCTGAGTCGCCTGGTCGTCAGCCCAAGAAGCGTCGGAGTGTCCTGTGAGTACCACTTGACCCCTTCCTCCAAGCACAAGCCCCATGCCCGATGTACTGCACAAGTAATGCAGTACCCTCTGCGCAGCTGTCCAGTGCTCCTTCATGTGTCGCCCGGGGGCGATGAAGCGAGCAAGGATGCTGAGAGGGTACGCGAGGTCAGGTCTGTCAGGATAGCGAGCAAAAGTTAGAACAGAAAAGAGAGTTTTGCACTAGCAAGCAGTTGAGTACATATAGGGAAACCTAATTTGGGTGAAACTCGCTATAGAGTACCCCACTGCAGGCTAGACAAATATCACATTCTGACACACCCCCATAGTCAAAGTGGGGTATAATCAGCAGAGCAAGCAGTCATAGAGCAGGTTCACAAGTACAAGCAAGTTAGAGACATTCACAAAAGGCAAGTGAGGAGGAGGAGGGACTGTGAGAGGAGTGGAGATAGGAGGCGAGGGTGAAGCCGCAGACACACGGACAACATGAGCCGCGCACACAAAGTGGCTACCGGAGCAGCGCCCCGGACTACTGGAGTAACTGGCTCCGCGGCTAAGACGAGCGGTAGGAGCAACGGACCCACGGGCGACTGGCGCAGCAGGCTCGCTGGGCTACCGGAGCAGAGCCCCGGACTACTGGCGCTGCTGACAACACGACGGTTGCCTCCGCTCAACCTCTCCCACTGTCGCAGACCCCTTTCACACACCCCCTGCTGCACCTCTAGCTCCACTCTCACGACACCCCCCTAGCGCCACTCCCTCGGCTCCCACACACCCACCCCCCTCAGCGGCAGCTGCAGCAGTGGGAGACGAAGGAGGAGGAGGAGCCGGGGACGGCTCACACACCCGCCACCCCCATACCAGCCACCCCCATACCCCCAACGCAGGCGGCACGGAGCAGAAACGCGGGCAGCAGCTGGGGCGCTGCGAGGGGCGATGGGCAGGGCGGCGCG